ATATATAGACATACATACTTTAAATAAAATTCTCTTTTTTGAATTATATTGGTGCACTTCAAGTGTATTTATTTATTTGTCAATTTATATATTTCCGCTTTTATTTTTAATTATGTCAGTTTCGGTCCTCCGTAATGCAGAAGCCTGATAATCACCCATTCATTCAAATCAGGTGTGTTTGAGCAGAGAAAAATAATAAAACGTACAGGGCTGCGGCCCTCGAGGACCAGGATTGCCCACCCCTGATGTACCAGCTGGTGGCAGTTATTCTTCATTAAGCTTTTTGCCAGCCACCATTAAACATGGCAGAAGACAACGACACAGAAAAGATTTGTAACACAACAATGGAGGACCATGGTAGCGATGGATCGGGTTGTTGTGAGTAGCTCATGACTTAATCCATGCCTTAGAACTACAGAGAGCCAAATCAAACTGTGCTGTAGAGGTTCTAGAGGAAACCGGGAATATAGCAGTGGCAGGATTACTTTCAGGTCTCAGGTGTCCTGTGGCAGCCCCGTCGTGTACAGGTAGGAGACAGTTCCAGCCTGGATCTGGAAGGTCTGTCCGTGGATGTGGTGGCTGGAGATCTGCTGGCTGGTCTGGCTGATATGGATGGGCTGGCTGCTCTGGCTGCTGATGTGGATGCCCTGGCTGTGCTGCTCCCTGCTCACCTGAGCCACAGGTTGGTGCATCAGCTGCAGCTGCTGGATGGGACGGCTCATCTGGAGCGGCTGTGCAGAACTGTGGTGGACCTGCAGGTGCTCCATGGCTTCCTTACTCAGAGTGATGACATGCATTTGCTCAGACTGGTGGTCCTCCAGCGTGCCGCCTGGATGAACTGGAGGCACCTGAGTAACGACGTCACCCTGAGCCAGCAGAGCTACGTTCTGCACGTGTCCTGAGGGCTGTGTGAGGAGTGTGAGCCTGGACTGCCCTGTTGTTTCTGCAGGGATGAGGTTCAGTTCCTGATCCTGACTTGGTACAAAGTTAAAGTTGTCCTCGCCCTCAGTCACCAGCAGCTGGATCTCCTGCTCAGAGCTGAGGGGTGGCTGGAACGGCTGCAGCTGGACCTCCTCCTGCGGTGGAGGTGGTGCCTCCACAGAGGCGGCTCGCTCCTTGTTGTGGGATTTGGTGTGTGTTTTCAGGTTGTCCAGGCGTGTAAACGAAAGGCTGCAGACGGAGCAGGTGTAGGGTTTTTTTCCTGAGTGGGAGGCGACGTGTCGTCTCCTCGCACTGGGGTCTGAGAAGGACTTGTTACAGATGTGGCACTGGTACGGCTTCTCACCTCTGCAGAAGAAAACATAATCAGTTATTTTGTGAAGCAAAATGTGACACTTCTCTGTTGAATCGTCACCTTATCTTGGTAGAGGACTTTGTGCGGATGAATATGGAACTATGCCAGGGGTGCCCAACCAGTCGCTCGCAGGCGACCGGTCACCCGCAAGCTGGTTCACAGTTGCCCGTGAAGCGCAACCTTGCTCTAACAGCTGACGAGCCAGCTTGTCAGCTGCTCATTGCTCCCCATCTTGTATTCTCAGACGTAGTCTCGCGAATTTTGGGTGCTGTGAAACAGCACTCCGAACATGATCTCGCAACACTTTAGGGTCACGTGTTGAAAACATGGCAGAGAGGTGGAAAAAAAAACAACGACAAAACGAGTGAACAAGCAAACAAAAATGTATTATTTTCACCAGGAGTGGGAAGTGGACTCGTGTAATTCGAGCGCTGCCTTGTCCAAAAAGGATAACGTGGAACAACATTTCTTTCAAAACAATGCACATGCTACGAGGCAGACTCCCTCCTAAACCGAGCTCAGCTGAAACCAAAACAAACTTGCAGCTTGCAGCTCGGTTTTCACTCGGTCCAACAGGTAAGGCTGCTACGATAGCCTCATACCAGGTTAGCTGCATCCTGCCTCAACACAAAAAATGTCTTTCAGCGATGACGAAGTTATGAAAGAAGCGTTTGAGGCTGTAGATGTGCTTTTCCGTGATTTTAAAAATAAAAGTGAGATTGCGGCTGCTATAAAGATGTGCAGTTGTCCAGGTTGGATGACATTGGGCCTCATGCAGGAACATGTTCGTATTCTTATCCTAAATTTCTCTTACTTTTGTTCGTACAAAGGGTTCGTACGAACATGTCACGTCAGATTNAAGCGGCGGAAAACGGACGAACGGACAATTTATATTGTTAGTCTAAATTATTACATTTAAAATTATAACTCTAATTCAAGCAGAATAGCCTATTGCGTACGAACGGCTCTTGCATGAGGCCCATTGTTTCTGTCATCAACTCCTGTTGTTTTCCTTGGCTGACCTGTTGGACGTCTGTTGCTCAGAACACCAGTTGTTTCTTTCTTGTTCAGGATAATCCAAAGTGTTGTGATTGCTCTGCCCAATGTTTGTCCAATAGCTCTGATTGATTTTTCTTCTTTTCTTATCTTTCTTCCATAGACAGATCATGGGTCGTCATGTTGGTTTATCATCTTTAACAAAAAAAAAAAAAAAAAAAAAAAAAAAAAAAAAAAAAAAAAAACTAGTTTATAGGTTTAAACCCAGTCCAAAAAGTAGACTAGTCATGCAGAGCTATTTAATGTTTGAACAATCAACCCTAAAGGCAACAGCTGGTAAATTAGAAACCCGTCAGTCACATGTTCCAATAGTTTTGTGCACTTAAAAAATGGGTGGGTTCAAACTAAGGGTGGTACGTTGAGTTGTTTAATACTCATACATGTGAACACCAGAAAATAAAAGCTGACATTCAGAACTCTTGTCTCATGCTCATCGTTTGATTTAAACCCAAATGTCTTCAGTGCACAAATAAATAAATAAAAATGAATTTGACTTCTTGTTCCAATACTTTGAGGGGACTGTAGGTGCTGTCTGACATCCAGACAAGGTGAAGCGACAAAAGTTTCAACAAAATTTATCTGTATAAAAATTCTGCTTAATTATTTTTAGTTAGCTCCACTGCTCAGTCACATTATAGAAATAGCACCAGGCTAGTCGCCAAATAAACAAATACAAACTAATCAATTAAATTTTATTTAGTACGCATGCACCCCCGATACACACCGATGGATGTTCAGGATGTTTTGACACAAAAGCTCATTTCTTGTTTTATTTTGTCCACGATATTTGTAACAATAAAGTGGGGGGGGGGGGGTGATCAGTGTGTGCAGCTGGCACACTGTATGCAGACACCTATTTTACATGACATGTTGTGTTTATTACCTCCGCCAAGGGCGAGGTAATGTTTTCGGTTACGTATATCTGTCGTTCTGTCTGTGGACAACATTACTCAAAAACTTGTGGAC